GCCTAACATCGAGATAGAATTTAAGAAATTAGATATTAAAATAACTAATAGTCAAAAATGATATACAAAATTATTTGAAAATAGTGTTCACAATGTTGTAATGTATACATGAATAGTAAAATACTTACAGTTACAGGTAGTAAGATGATACGAATCAGAATATTGCAACGTTCATGTATCCAGTTGGCATTTATCTGAAACATAATGATAATATCCAGTTATAGAATTACGTATACCATCAATATAATGATAATCATAATACCAAGGACATGCAGCGATTCACCTTGTTTTGGCTCATCAAACACTTGAACACCTGCTCGATTCACTGTTGGGACATTACCATATTGTTGCATCTAATGATCAGTTTATTGGGAATTGCAGTCTCCAAATGTATATAATCAGAGTTGTCAAGGGTCTCTCACGGCTTGCTTTAGATTTCTTCTTGGATTTGCTTGAGATTGGGCATTTTTTGAAAATTATGCATGAGGTCACAAACCTTAAGGAAAATACAGTCAAGCCTGGATATAACATTCAACTTTTACAGTGAATACTTTGATACAAAGTGCCACTTTGATATATCATATAGTTTTCTTCAGTTTCTGCTGAAGTGGCGTCGAACACTGTGACGATCGCTATGGGATCGCTAGCGCCGATAGTCATGTTTGTACATGTTATATGTAAGGTCTAAGTTAAATGCGCGAGACTTCCGCGAGATGCGTGAGACTTGGCAGGTCTGAAATATGTATAAAATGTTTATTAATGTATATAATCATTATTTTCATTGTTTTTTTAAGGATATTGATTCATCTGATAATGAAAGATTTTGCCAGTATATTTTCTACAATCGCCTTAAAAGGTAAATACTTTTAATACTTTTTTTGTTTTTTTAAATAATTTATTGTTGTTTTATTCTCACCCCAATTTAATTGATCCATCACTTCTGACAACCATGATTGGAATCGTGGGAAATTAATTTTGCAAATTAGAAACACAAGCAAAAAGATTAATACATTGAAGACTTAGAAGGCAGATAGAAAAGTAGTTAGGCCTAGTTGCAATTTTTCTCTATAAAAAAATGAAAAATTTTTAAAGGTTTATTTATTAATAACTTATGATTACTTTACTTTAGAGTTGGATATGCCCGTATATCGCATGGAGAACTAAGCGACACAGAAGTTCAGCTCGCTAAATTCCACATCCCGGAAAAAGGATCGCTCCAAGATAACGATCTGGTTGTCATAGACAAAAAGAAAGTGGATCCATCTCTGCATTTTCCAGCTAGGTAAGAAGCTTCAATTCATATTAGTTTTGAATTACTTTTAAAGTGACTCATTAATTCAGTCAATGTACATTTTGGAAACCTTGACATATAGGTGTATGCAATAATGCGAGTCTTAAGTCTATTTTTGATGATTCAGAATGCATTGTACAGTACATGCAACTATGCAACAGCACGGAGCTGTTGCGCAGTTGCACATACTGTTTAACATGTGCATGTTGATGTAAATTACGTCACATGTTGCATAAAGCTAAGTTGCATAAAGCTAAGTAAATATACATTTTGGAAATCTTGACATATAGGTGTAGGCAACAACGCGAGTCTGTTTTTGATGATTCAGAATGCATTGTACAGTACATGCAACTATGCAACAGCTCAAAATATATATAGTATATAAATATAATAGTATAAGATCATGGCAGTGATAATGACATGTGTTTATTTCGTTAATTTTTTTTTTTTATATAGATTTGGTAATTTTTACAATGGACACTACTCTGGCATAGAACACCGTTACCATATGGGAACACCAAAGTACTTCACACAGCAACCCCCAAGTCACTGAAAATCACCACCATCACCTAGGAACAACATGTACTTCATACAAAAGACCCTTTAAGCTGCTAAAATTTACTACCACCTAGGGACAGAGTACTTCATATGAAAGACCCTTTAAGCTACTGAAATTCATCACCTATAGGATCTACAGTTTTGAGATGAATGTTCAGACCAAGTTGTCTTTCAATTTTTGAGAACCCTCAAAATTCAAATTGAATTGGTCATCTTTAAAGTTCTGTATAGTTATTAAAGTGTCTATATATTGGTCATGATGTGATGCCCATGGCCATATTTAGGCATCTGGACTTAAGGTTCAAGTGAGTATCATTTTTTGATAAAACAGAGATAGTATTTAGTTTTTACTGAATAGAGTGCGGTTGTGGCTTGGCAGTTTAGATGCTTGCCTTCCAATCTCAGGATCCACAGTACAAGCTCTGTACATGCTATAAAACTTTCTGGGACAAATGTGTGATGTGTCCATATATGGGCATGATTATTATTTGTTGCATAAAATTTGATAGTGTAGACAAAGCTTTAGTTTATGTAGAGCACCTTGCGTGTGTGTTTATCTTTATGAAACGGATTGCCACCTGTGACTTGGTCAGTGATTAAGTTCGCGATGGATCTTTCAATGTGTCAATCAAACTTAACTGACCAATCAGAACAGTGCCAGGAATATGCAGGTGTCCAGCAAAACACATGTGTTGTCCCACGAACTTGCATGTTTGCGTATCTTAGCAACAATATCCAAGGGGCGGGGCTTAGCACAAACAATGAATAAAAAAAAAACATAAAAATAATGAATTTACAGACTTTAGAGAAGTGATAAAATCCTTGAATTAATTACCATGTACCAGCAAATTTTTTTATAGCTTTAAATGCAAATATATTGGTATCATTTATGCCTCTATTAATATCGGTGCGAAAAATATTTTCTTGGTTAAATTTACAATTGAAAAAGCAATAACTTAAATGTAGAAATAACGTAATTAATTTTTATTAACTTTTATCATGTTTTTTACCATGACAGGTTCCTCTACTTTAGTGTTTCTTGTTTTTTTCCCTATTGGTTTCTTTGGTTAGTTAGGATTTAGCGGTTGGATTTGAGTGGGGAGAAGGGTGTGTATGTGTGTACGCATATAGTTTTCTTATGTACTCCACAAACAGTATCACTGAGTTATGATTATTAGGTGCTCTATTAATTAGTTTATTTTTAGCAACTGGTTATTACCAGACTAGGACACCAATATAATTCACAACACGTACTTAACAATTATTATCACACTATCAATGTTGTCTTTTAAAACAGATGGTATTAAACACACATGGAAATTAAATAAATATAATTAGTTCTGTCTCATTAATATTCATGAGTTCAGTCATTAATTTTAATGTATTCTTTTAAATTTAATTTCCAAGTAAGTAAGCTAAACTAATTGTTGAATAATATAATATTTTATTTCTGTAATTTTCACCATATTTGTGACATTTTGATTGATTTTTTTTAAAGTGATTACTAAAAATGTTAGGAGTAAACAATATGCTATTAAGCACAGGAGGGCAAAGTGCGGCCCAACAGAGATTTTGTTGTGGCCCGCGGATATGAATTAAAACCCTATGTGTGGGGCCCGCCAAGCAACATTGGCTAGAAAACACCTTGTTTTTTACGGCCTGATGTAAAAACAGTGCTTGGAGGGTTTTGAAAGCACATTTGAAAGATCAAAGTTTGGGTGCGGCCCTCAGTGTTAAATCAGAAATTCACTTTGGCCCTCCGACTGATTTTCATGCCCACCACTGTACTAGAGGAGTTATAACTATGGAACTTCCCTCTATTATGGTACTTATAATCATGTGTAACTAGGACTGTAATATAGTTTAGGGGAGAAAAAAAAGGGGGTGGGAAGCAAAGAGTTATGTAATATTTAACAGGTAAGGGATAACCTTACAAAAAACAAAGATTTATGGGAAAAAAGGGGGTACCACAGTAGGAAGGGGCACTGGAGAACGAGAGGAATGATAAGTAGATCTGTCTCTTATACACATCTAGATGTGTATAAGAGACAGCTAATGATCAGTTTATTGGGAATTGCAGTCTCCAAATTTATATAATCAAATGCAAATAATGTAAATGTTAAAATGCAAATGTAAATATCAGAGCTGTCAAGGGTCTCACACTGGCTTGCTTTAGATTTCTTCTTGGATTTGCTTGAGATTGGGCATTTTTTGAAAATTATGCATGAGGTCACAAACCTTAAGGAAAATACAGTCAAGCCTCGATATAACATACACCTTTACAGTGGATACATTGATACAAAGTGTCTTTGGTATCCCATTTAGTTTTACTTCAGTTTCTGCTGAGGCAGCGTCGAACACTGTGACGATCGCTAAGGGACCGGTAGCACTGATAGTTGTGTTTGTATGTGTTGTATGCTTGTTTTGAGACAATAGCACATAAAAAAATTATAATTTGAAGAAATTCTGGAATGCGTGAGAAAATATAGACCTCACATGAGGGTGTGAGATCGAAGCTAAATGCGTGGGACTCACGCGAGATGCGCGAGACTTGACAGGTCCGCTTATGTTTACTCTATTCTTAGCAATAATATTTAAATAAAGAACAAAGAATGATGCTTACCATATTATCTATTTCACTACAATCATATTCGTAAAAGTACTATGTCCAGAAATTCTCCAATTTTTACCTCCGGAAGTAAAAATATGTATCCACAAAATTTGAGTCCTTTCCTGTTTGATTAAATTATCTCCACAATGAGGAAAAAGATAATATTGTGCACACAAAATTTAGTTGCAGTTCAGCCTCACTGAAAACAGCTAGTGAGCTTTATTTACAAGATCTGTCGCTCATGTTCAAGTACCTTGCACACTGCAGCAAATGCTATTAATCTCTCAATTGGTAATAACCAATCATAGACATTCATTGAAAATTAGCTCCACCCACTTTCTCCCTGAAACCAATTAAATGTTAGACTCCCTGGGGATGATGGCTATTTTTAGATGTCTAATTCCTGTCACTGATCTGTATAAAAGAAATTTCTCTGTTCATTATGAGTTCAGAGACTGGCGTTCCAGATACTGTTTCAAGTACAGTAAAAATAAATGAATTTAAAAAAAAAGAAAACTTAAATACAAAGGTCGATGAACAATACGGTATTTATGAAATAAAAAATGAATACTTCCATTCAATTAGATGATCAAAATATCATATGTAATTTAGCTTTAAAAGTTACATTAAATGCTGAGCCACAAGGGTTTCTAGCCTTCATACTAGGATTCATTTGCCACTATAAGCTGAGCCTATATTTCATTACAGGCCTATAGGATTTAAGCCTACCTAAAACATCTAAAATCATATTTGTTTTAAATAATTAAAGACTAACTTATAAATTAGCTTGTGATAGTTCAAACAGATTTGTGGCATTGTCTCTATTATGCATGTATTCTTTTAAACTTAATTTCCAAGTAAGTAAAAAAAAAATACTTTAAGCTAAACTAATTGTTGAATAATATAATATTTTATTTCTGTAATTTTCACTATATTTGTGACATTTTGATTGATTTTTTAAAAAGTGATTACTAAAAATGTTAGGAGTAAACAATATGCTATTAAGCACAGGAGGGCAAAGTGCGGCCCAACAGAGATTTTGTTGTGGCCTGCGGATATGAATTAAAATCCTATGTGTGGGGCCCGCCAAGCAACATTGGCTAGAAAACACCTTGTTTTTTTTACGGCCCGATGTAAAAACAGTGCTTGGAGGGTTTTGAAAGCACACTTGAAAGATCAAAGTTTGGGCGCGGCCCTCAGCGTTAAATCAGAAATTCACTTTGGCCCTCCGACTGATTTTCATGCCCACCACTGTACTAGAGGAGTTGTAACTATGGAACTTCCCTCTATTATGGTACTTATAATCATGTGTTACTAGGACTGTAATATAGTCTAGGGGAGAAAAAAAGGGGGTGGGAAGGAAAGAGTTATGTAATATTTAACAGGTAAGGGATAACCTTACAACAAAGATTTATGGGAAAAAAAGGGGGTACCACAGTAGGAAGGGGCACTGGAGAACGAGAGGAATGATAAGTAGATAGTGTACTATATTATTCTTCTTGATGTACAAGTTTTTAATTGTAAAGAGTCATGTTCTCCTGATGTCCTATAGATTTAGTAGCAAAATGCATGCTTTATAAATAGTTGATTCCATTGCATGCAGTAGTTAACGCTAAAGCAAATACAGCAGTAGATAGCAGAATCCATAAGGAAAGATTGACACCCACCACAACAGATGCATCTACTTCAACTACACATACATAACTACATGTACAATACTGTAAATAATTGCATAAAGCACCGCTCTTTAATACGTGCAGCTGGGGTTGTTAAATATAAAAGTCTATTTGAGTAAAGCATTGTGATGCTAATATAACATCCTCAGAACTCCAGGAACATTAAGCAACTAGATTCCCATGAACTAAATAATAATAATATTTATTTGAACATACATACCTTAGATCAGTGGCACTCAAAATCATTTGGTGTGTTCATGGTGAAGCAAAATAAATTAATTAAGATTCTTTACTAGTACAAACTTTATTAAACAAAATATTCAATTCTTAAGTATGGAAATGAACTTAAGTAGTAGTGCTGCTAATGAGGCAAGTACCTTATCGAAAAACATGACAGAAATAAAATTGCATGAACAACATGCTTCACTTGTCACAGATTTAAAAGAGCCACCTGTATCATCAATCACCTTTACAATTAAAAAGAAAATGATAAACAAAATTAATTAACTACAAGTTAATTAGTAATTTAGATACTTAAGGTTTGAATTTCAGATCTTATCTCCGCACACGTTTAATAATACTAACACTTAATTACAAAGTTCTCACTTATTACAGATGGAGCAAATGTATTGAAAAAGCTGATTTTCTGCAGACAAAAAAAAAAAAAAAAAAAAAAAAAAAACACACTAAATAAAAACAGATAAAAATAATGCAATAATACAGTCTTGTTTAAATAAAGGACACAGGCTGAGAAAAGGCAGTTCTAAAACATCTCAGAATGACTTAATAACATTTTGTGCCAAAAAATTGCAGTTTCTCTAGGTGCCAGGTGTCATGGCCCCTTTAATCCCCACCAGAAATTTTTCCTTGATTCCCGCTAGCCTCCACCGAAACTTGGCAAACAACAACATTAACATTGGATCTACTGCTGCTTTGATTTTTGCTATAGTGAATAGGGTAGTAGGTTTATAGAATTTATGGAGATGGTAAATTTAAATTGTGGATATTTATATATTTAGCGCTCTTAGAATAGTAATACAGAATATAGTAAAAATCTGACCTTTTGTGTCCTTTCAGTACTATACTCTCATTTTCTTTCCTGTATGGCTTTTTTTTTTTCATCATAATTAAATCCAGTGGTGCTCATGCATAGGTAAATTGATAATGCAAAACTCAAACAGTTGTGTTTCTCAGAATTTATTATAACGATGAACAAGACTTTTGCTATTTTATTAAACTGTGTGCTTCTACTGTACATATTAACTATAAATACCGTATTTATTTGAATAAACGCCCCGCTTTAAATAAACGAACTTCTCAATAAACACTCCCTCTAGAGCCTCATTTGGGCATCAAGGGGGAAGGCATCATGTCTAGTTTGAATTCTGGTTGATAGCGATTTTCTACACTTCTTGCAGATTTACTGTTTACACGTTAATCATTATTACAGCAAGATACGAGTTCACAAATACTGTATTTATTCAAATAAATGCCCCGCTTTGAATAAATGCTCTCCTCGAATAACCCCCCTCTAGAGCCTCAGGCATTAATTTTTTTCCTTGAATAAACGCCTCCTTGATTGTAAAAAAAATACAATGGAAGCAATAAATGTATTGTAGTTCCATATTTACAGTGAAATGAGAGGGACACAGTATATACTGTATGTATCCATTTTACACCAAAAAAAGTTAGTGCTTCCCACCTTCAAAACCCTGGGGCATTTACTCAAATAAATATGGTACTAAACTGTACTTAAATGTGTTTTCTTCAGTGCAAATTATCAATGACTTACTGTACTTATATTGGTCATGCTTATTCTATTAGTATTTATGTTTAAGAATGTGGGATTATATTACAGGTCTATGGGACTATGTAATAATGTATCATTTTATTTTAGTTTGTATATTTGGTGTAAATGTAAGGGTTTATTTTTGGTAGTATGATGCAAAATAATTGCAAGTTTTACTTTTTTTTTTAAAGTGAAAATCTCACTATGCAAACCACAGGCTCTAATCAGATGGCCTTTGATCTCCATAGCAACAATACAGCTCTCTCTCCAATTAAAGATCACTTTTTAATGGGTATTTGGTCGGTGTTTCATATTTTTGTTTAAAAGTGCTTGACCTGGAACAATTTAGAAATAAAATTTTAGCTAATCTGTCTCCTTTTTTAGAAAGGGGTGGGGGGTATTACCCCACCCTTTGGATCCACTCCTGTAGCATTTATTTATACAAGTACTATGTATAGTGAAATACAAAACATACTGTTTTGATTTTTGTACTGCCATCAAGTTTTTAACGAACAATTACAAAACAAAATTTCAGGAAGGTATTGCCATGAAAACAATTCTTTTTATCTTGAGTCAAAACATATTTATAATATATTTGTTTCCGAATAAATGTATTGAGATTAATAAAAATACAATAAAAACAAATTCGTTTTTATAGTTTTATTGTGTTCATCGATAAATTTTACAGTCAATATTGTTAAGCTTGTGGAATACTGTTAATTCAAGATGCTGTATATTTTTTAAAATTTCCTCATTGTGATGAAATTACTGCATTGTTTACTAGCATACTGTCATAAAATACAGTACAGTACCTCTGCACTTTGTCGCATAGACTTGTTGCCTTAAGAGGAGTTCCAGGTATCCTGTAAGGTGCGAGGCTCGCCCGGGTGTCGAGAAGGCTTCCAACACTCCCGCAAGCAAACAAGAATCTTGCGGAAAATAACCCGTCTCGCGCAAATTCATATTACAGGTATATGCATGTCTGAAAGAAGTCTGTGCCGATGGTTATCAGCATGCGCATTAAAATGAAATTACATGCAAGAAGGAAGTTCATTTAACCAGATCTCGTGGAAGCCAGTTTGAGTAAGTTGATTGTGGAAACATAATAATCATAGCATCATCACATACTTTATGCAAGAGACAATATATATTAATTATTTTGTATAGCTGTGTACTATTAATACAAACACATTTAGTTATGCTTTTCCTTCATCAAAGGTTAAACATTTTTTTATGTGGTTTCTCATAAACCATCATTACAAATTATTATGAAACATTTATTTTCATATAAATCAAATAAAAAAAACCACTAAAGTTGTATTGGCAAACCCATGAATTCAGACCATTTTTCTGCAGTATGGAAGTATACTTCTAACTGTTGATATTCCTGGTTCCTTATAAAAAGGTAGTGAAGCTGAAGTTAGTCAAAGGTAAGAGAATAACCCATATAAACTTGCAGCGTCATTGTGCTGAATTGTGTATGGCCCGTAAAAAATACAGAGGCTGTACAGATGCACTTATATGGTAGATACTTGCACACATCATTCTACAATGATGGGCTAAAATGAACCATAGCAATGGGGTATACCCTTCATTTTCTGAAATATACAATGGGTTCTTTAAAGTGTACTCGAGCCAGATGTCTACACTGGACCTCCATTTTAAGTTCTTATCTGAGAAGAAGTTTTAACAACAAAACACTGGACGAGGAGCAGCTCAAACCAGCGACGATGTTAAGGCTGTACTTAGTGGCTCAGGTCAAATATCTGCCTACAGTAACACAACCATGAGTTGTATGTAAACCGTTGCCATGTAAGACAGTGTCTTGTATGAGTATATACATTCATGAGTTTTCAATAATTGCACAGAGATAAATTTACTTTCCTTTTTCAAGCAGTACAGTATTGCAGTTGCTAAAATTCATGTAGTAAATTAAATTCCATAAGTGTTACCAATATTTTTCAGGGTTATTCCTTCTATGGTGGTGCCTTGCTTTTCAAAGTTAAGTTTTGGAAACTCCCAATCAATAGTTACCTTCTCACAACAGGTATTAGATTTTGCCATGGATAAAAGAAAGCTTTTTTCCTCCATAATTTTGCGTACAACACCGGTACACACATACACTAATTATAATAATAATATTATAATTATGAAATTAGAGGTTGAGATCTAAATACTGTACATGCTTCCCATATGGTGCAAATTAGTACGTAAACATTACATTGGGTAGCAAGGTGCTAAATATATATACTTGTATATATTTTTGATATTATCAAACTGTTATGAATTCTTGTCTATATCTGAAGATTGGTCACATTTATTTTCTATTGCATTAGTGTCTCCTGTATCTATTCTTTGAGAGTTACTTTCATTTGATTCTTCAACCTTCTCTTCCTTTACTATCTCTTCAGCAGTTTTCTCTCTACATTCATCAGGAGTGTTTTCTTCAGCTGCTTTCTCTGCACCTGGGTTATCAGTTTCTGGAGTGTTGTTGTCTTGACTTTCTTTTTCTGGAGATGCCTCAACATTCTGCTCTTTTTTATCACCATCATTTTCAGCACCATCATTTTCAGCTGTGTTGTCTTCAAACCCAGGCTAAGTGACAAAGAAATAAAAAAAGATATTAAAAAGTATTATTAGATTATGTATATAATAATAATAATAATAATAATAATAATAATAATAATAATAATAATCTTTAATTTATATGGCGCCAATTTGAAAAACGATCAAAGGCTTAACGCATGTTAATAGAAATTGGAAAACAAATAGGTCTTATGCTGTGACTTACAGTTGCAAAAGAGAGTTAGAAGAAGTTATGTTATTTGGTAGTTGATTCCAAAAAAAAGGCAGAAGTATGAGTGACAGAACATTGATCGTATGTTTGAGTGAATGAGCGGAGATGGTATACACAGAAGTGGCACAGCAGCTAAGCTTTAAAGTAACTTATCAAAAGATTAGGGTTCTAGTCTGAAGCAGATCACTTGTGCGTGTCTAATGAGGCATTAGGCCAAATAAAAAAAAATGATTGTGTTGGCCACGCCCGACTGACCCAAAATGTTTGAAATTGAGGGTCAGCATTTTATTTATTTATTTTTTTTGACTTCAATGAAAATTATTTTTTTAATGAGCTAAAAAGGCTAGAATAGGCTTATTTTGTGATGGTAGGTGATGTGACAGTGAGTGTTATGTGATCGTTTTTGCTCTTCAATATAGATTTAAAAATGGTCTTTTGTTGTATTTTTGTGTATTTTCTACTTTATACACATTATCGGTAAAAAAAAAAGTTTTCCTACTGACCTACCCATTTATTTATTTTCCCAAAATGTGGCCAATAAACACAAGAATTTTTGTTTTTTGGCCTTACCCATGCTCTCTTCCTTCACCCAGAAAAGTGGTACACCTGGTAGGTTTAAATGCCAAGGCAATGATAAAGACGTGGATGGAATTGAACCAAATGTTTACAACTTACAATTTTTTAAATATAAAAAGTTCAAACCACAACATGTTTCAATGTTTCTATCATGATTATTAAGTAAGAGTATCTACTGCTAAACACTAATCTTATATATAGCTAAGAAGTAATGAAAGAATAAGGTGATACAGTTTGAACCAATGGGTAGACAGATTGAATGAGGCAGCTAAAGTTTTAAGGTGATATTGAAATAACGTGTCAGCTGCTTGTTTAAGTTAGGTTGTTCCCAACTATTATGTAGAGGGCCTCCTTCATCTTAAGCTGATGATTACAGGTGGCAGAGTGAAAAACACTGAAACAAGTGGCGCCTGATAAATCACTGCAGTGTTTAAACCCATCAAAATCAAATAGAGCATGGAGGAGGCATCATATACCTTATGACCTGGGTTGTCATGTGACTGGTTTTCTATGATGATGTCATCTGGATCAGGAACTGCTGGCAGAAAATCCTCCCCAGGACATAGTTTTTCAAAAATTCTCTTTGCCTGTAGAGAATAAATTATCACGTAACTTTCAAGTTTGATTTATTTCACAAAACACAAATATAAAGTAATTAAAGAAAAACAAGTGACATGCCTGATTTTGGTTATGATGACATCACATAATGACCATATATAGGAACATTATAACTATATATGGACATACAACAGTATTTCTGTCAGAGAAAATCTGGTAGTGTGGACAGACCTTAAGCCCTGTCCACACCATAAAATTTTATTTGACAAAATCATGTGACATGCCTAAATATGGTCATGAGGACATCACATCATGACCATATATAGGCATATCATGACTATATATGGGTGTACAACACTTTTTCGTCCATGAAAAATTGATATTGGGACAGAGTGCAATTGCTAAATATTATCTTCCTATCACAATTTTCATTCATTTATACGATGGCTTATCAGACAGCAAAATACAAATTTTTAGTGTGTTGATTTTACATAGAATGCATCCTGAATTTGTGACTTTAGTAAGCTTTCCATTGTAGCATGGATAAAGTTGAGTCTTGATCTATGACCCCCTACTCACCTGTTCAACGGCATGCTCATATCCAATACTTAATCCAGGTCCATTCGTGACTTCTGCGTTAATTGGTAGCCCAGTGTGCAAAATGTCATCTTCGATATCTGTCGCATCAACCATGTTGAAGTACATGCTCCAGAGGACTTTAGGTTTTGTGGATTCTGGGTCGTCATCTGTGTTAAGAGGCTGGAAGAGGAGTTTGATGATCTCCTGGAAATCCTCCTTTGCGGTAGAACCATGTGACCTGCACGTCATGTGTACTAAAACTAAAATAATGAAAACAACATATAATATCAAATATAAGGCTTTTTTTTTTATTCATACTTTACAGTTTTTTTCATCTGTATAATTTTGCCAAATATTTGTGTCAGGAAAATTCATAGGAATGATGTATTGCTCATTTTGTATACATAGTTCATTCTCAAATACTTGCAAAACAAATCTCACAAGTGATTCCGGTGGAAATTGAACCCTGACCTTCAGATGACTAGCCTGGTGTCATTACCGCTAGACCACCATATTTGCACTTAGTGGCTAGTATTGGGCCTGATTCCGAAGTTGTATTACAGTGAAGTTGTTCTAACTCTTAACCACAAGTACGCTATTTCAGCAGCTAAAACGCTAAACAGCAATAACTTACATATATCTTTCGGACAAGCATATGTACCAAATGGAAGCTCGATAACTTGGATAGGTTGAGGGCTCCCTTCTATTGGAGGCACAGTGAGTAAAGATATCTGAAATGAACAATTATTATAGCAATAGTAAAGTAAGTATGATTGTTTTAATGAGTGTTAAAATTAATGATATTTACAACTGAATCTGATTTCTGCACTTGATTCAAACCTCAAAAACAACCTGAATTTTCAAGCCCTAGACATCAGAAAAAATAACAACTTTAGATTCTGATACAGCAATACACAGTAGAGCCATCTATTTTTGCGATTTTGCTGATAGGACGAGATCGTGACAAATAAGGGTGCGTGAAAATCGCGAAATTCTGAATAAGAGTTTTGTATTCAAAAGTAAATCTATAGACATTTTGGCTAGCTAGATATTACATCACACTTCACTTCACACAGTCACAAGGCCTACACTAGAGTGGTTGGCCTAACTTCAATGGAATAAAAATCACAGCTTTGTATTTCTTCTATAATACGGATACTGCCCATTAGTTAATAACTATCTATTACTATTATTACTCTTGGTAAAATTTTTAGTCAACTTTGTTAGGCGTCCAATTGATGCAAGATTTCTAACATTTCGATTTGAAAAAATTCTGAATTCTGAAGGTGCATATGTATAATTAGTCTTATATTGCTTAATGGAAAATTTAAATTAATTCTTACCTCCTCCTGGTCAGTAGGTAATATAGATCTGTCTGTCATTAACACCACCCTGGATATAAGTCTAATCATGGAAAAAAAAAAAAAACAAGTTTCAAAGTTCAAAGTTTAGAGTTAATCAATTTACAAGGACAGGTACTTGGTATTTACATAGCACCTTTCCTTTAAGTTAGCGCTTTGTTTTCCCGCTCATTGGGTCTGCGTAAGTGTTGCTGCCATATTGGCGTAGCACCAGGCACCAATTTATACTCCTGGGTGAAGCAACGCAGATAACGTTTTCTCAAGGAAACAAGTAAAGGTCACAGCGAGGGATTGAAACCTTGACCTCAAGGTTGGCAAACCAAACCGTTCCCGCTGTGCCAAACCGCTTCCACAAAGTATTACAATAAAAAGCCCCTATAGTACTAGTACTATAGGGCTGAGATAAGTCATGTAATGATTTTTATGTACCCTCAATCTGTATACATGGATGTATCTACCGGTGCAAAAAGTCGCCATTTTAAATTTTAAAAATGCCAACATGTCTCATAAAACATGGTCATATTATGTATCATTGAAAAGGCAATTATACACTGATCATTATTTTCCATATACACCTATAATTAAACACATTTTTTTAAAGGCATATTTTGTAACTTATCTGTAACTCTGATTACATGCAACTGAACATTGATGTAAATGTATAAACCCTTACGTGGTTGTTGAAGCAGATGCCAGCGGCGGTCGAAAACTATGGTCCATGATAACATTCTTACAGATTAATCTTCGACCATCAGAACTAATGATCCCTTTGCATCTAGTAAAATTGAAAAAAAAAAAAAAGTTGATTATGAATATTTTAATAATTTCATTAGAGCAGCTAAACACAATAGTAATTGGCTAAACTGGTAGTAGCCATTGAATGCGCTGAAACGTGACTTAGGACTTTAATTTGTAGGTACGAGAGTGTCTTCCTACTGAATTGTAATGTCAAGGTTCTCTTAGTAGATTATTCTCCATTAATTCCAGGTTCCCTTTGAACTGGGGGCCATAGGTCTTTGTCCACCGAGATCCCAAAGGCGTTGTACCACTGGAAGGGTTCAAATTAAAATATTATGTGAAATGTTTTTTTTTACTTAGGCAATGTCCAGATTATCAAATTTTGGTTTACAAAAAAACTGTGGTCTGCTCAAATATAGTCATTATGTGCATATATGTGGTCATGATGTGTGACCATGACCATATTTAGGCATATCACATGTTTTTGACAAATAAAATTTGACATTGTGGACGGGCTTTACTTGTTTTCCGCATCCACAATGAGTCCTTTTCCGGGGCATCGCAGCATGTAAATGCCGTTAAAAACAGCACACATTCTGCAGAAGCACTGAGGTAGCTCTCCACTTCCATACAGCGTCCATAAGAAAGCGGTATTGCCAAACCGGCCTAGAGACTTCAAGAAATGATGCATGGCTTTCAAACCCTCAAGAAAATTCACAAGAATAAAAGACATTTATTAGTACAGTATGGTTTATTTTCCATTTCTTTTAGTATTTATACCCAACAACTAGAGCAGCCACTCCATACCTTTAACCCTGTGACTACTGTAATATTATACGATGGTCGATTACATTACTTTCTGCTCTGTGCGTTAATATCGAACAATATGCAGGCAGACCATTGCATTATTTTCTTTTATGCTTGAGGTAAAAAATTAAATTTCCGTGACATTGACCTTTGACCGTTTCTTCCCAAAATTTAATCATCTCTTTCTTTGAATATTATGTACCATTCCACTAAGTTTTATGGTGATCCATTCATTAGTTTTTGCGTAGTCTTGCCAACTGACAGACAGTTGTGAATACATAACCTCCTTTGGCGGAGGTCAATTAAAATCGCCAATTGCTGAATGAACAATGCTTCATATACTAATAACAATGTGACATTTATATAGCGCATACTGCAACCACGTATGTAATTTAAATTTAATTACTCTCGGTCACTGGATCAAACACCTACGGAACACATCCTCAACTCCATAAAGTCTCTTTATGAGGCTAAAGGCCAACTCAAGACAGTGTTGTACGATGCAGCTTGACGCGATTTGTTGTCGCGTCGGGTCTGTGTGAGTTAAACGCAGATGCGATGGTTTGCGTTGGGGCAGCCACATTGTGTACAATATAAAACATATTTAACATTTCTCACGGCGACTTAAGACTATCCCCAACGATGAATCACATCAGACTGCGTCGTACAATGCTGTCTGAGTTGGCGTTTAGGGGTTGGGTTGCTGTTAGTCGTGACAAAAGTCCTGCAGTCACAGAAATGGAACCCTGGACCTTGGGATTAGAAGGCAGGCACCTTAACCACTAAGCTATAAAACTCAAGCTCAAACAAGACATCTGATGTGGTCTTGTTTCCTTTTTCTTTTTTAAAATTATTTATTAAATTCTCAACTACATTGAACTTACATCTTGCGTTAATGTATCCTCTGTCACCATGGCAATAGAATGTATAACAAAATGTCGTAGCGTATTGGTTAGTTTTCTGAATTTCAGGAACTCAACAAAAGGTTTGTTTACATAATCTGTGAATAAAGAAAAATGAGCACATTTCATAGGCTTGGTTTCCATACAATCGCTACACTATCCCCAACAGTTTTCAGTGACGCTGATTAGTCGGTCAAATCGGGAAGCCTCCCTGCTTGCCTTCGGGACTGCTATACAGTACAACGATTGTACTGAAAAAATTGTAGTGACAGTTTAGCAATTTTATGAAGACGAGGCTTTTAGATCAGAATTTCTCTACAACATAAATGACTTGCAGTGGAGTTGAATGGCTTGATGGTTATGATGCTCGTCTTTCCAATTCCGGCGACCTGGGTTCAATTCCAGTCATGGTCACAGGATTTTCTGTCACAACCAAAACAACTCCACTTCCTCCTAATGAGAATAAAGGTGTGCACTCACTGCAGCTACAATCGTCGGCTGAAGCAATTCTACGCGCAGATCGTTTTTATTATTAAAAGCCGAATGGAAAATGGGACAAATGAATTAAAATAACTACTTGCCAATTTCAATAAAAACATCATAGAAATTATTCAAATCTCCTTATTGCATAATTTAAAAGAGGAATGGAATATGAGATATATGATTTAAAATATCTACCAACTCAGCAATTGACTGATCATAACAAATTCAGTCTTTTTTTTTACTTCATATTGACATAAAATTGGTCAAAGGATGAGTAACATCTTCACAAATTTGTCTGAAGTTAAACAAATAAAATTATGACATCATTAAATCATTGGAAAATAAAAATGGGTTATGTTTTACAACACCAGGGGCTTTGGTTCAAATCCAGCAATATAGTCTTCTCAAGTAACCTCTGCACATTTCAATCTTTACTAGATTTTTAGTACATATATTTATGTTTAACAAATAAGCAAACTCTTCAGACTGCTTGCCGAGTCAGCACTCCTTCAACTTTACGGCAGTATTTCACCTTCGTATTCTATTTGCCGCTCCTGATAGTGCAGACAAAATTCAATAAACTTCATCAACATTCTTTTTTCCAACATCGTTACATACTTGCTGCTGAAGACATCAGCTCTAGAACAAGGAACCTGCAATAACGACAAAGGTTCAAGTCAGTTCATTCTTTGTGGTAGCCATAAAAAAAAATAACTTGCTATTTATTTCTCTTTCAATGCATATTTACCTTCTCAATTCTCCCACCAATGTACGTCAGCGTTCTAGTAATTGCTTTGAATTCTGCGTACCGACTCACTCGCGATTCAATCAAAGCGTCGATCAATGACCCCCTACAAAACATCAACTTTGTACAGAAAATGGAAAATTAATTATATGCATATGCTCAAAAAAGTAAGTCTTTCTAAACAATAAGGCTTGAAAATGGAGTAGTTTTATAAACCCATAAGACAAAACACTATTGACTATTATTAAGGACTTCAACCCAAGACACTATAACTACACTCATATTGTTAATATTAAGTTAATTTGAATCAAGCAAACTGAAACTATTTAAATAATTACTGTATATTAAGTACTAAACATTATATTTTTTTTTTACTGTAAATTAACATTAGCATCCTGCAAGGCATATACCCATTAGCAATAAATTAGTGGCTCAAAGCCCATTCATATATAGGTCACATGACCAAACAACTGTATCAAATATTCCACTTACCTTTGGGGAAAGGTCAATGTTGAATTTTCTCCATTCATGTTTTATAAGATTCTGTGTCCACTGTTTCCTTACTGGCTCTGTATTGCTTTCAGCACCATCTGCAATAACTCCTAACGCTTCTGCAGAAGATTCTTCTGCAGCTTCCACTGCTGCAGTTTCTTCTGGAGCAGCTTCCTCTGGAGCAGCTTCCTCTCTTGCAGCTTCGCCTCCTTCAGCTTTTTCTGGAGCAGCTTCTTCCACACTTAACGCTCCTTGAGCGTGTGACTCATTTACTTCATCATTTGCTTCCACCTGATTACTTGCATCACCAGCAGAATATCCAGACTCTGGAATGGATGTATTTGCATTGGACTGATGTTCAACTGGAGAAGAGATTGGAGATAATGAACTGTCTTGTTGATGAGAATCAGGTGGATCTTCAACAACCTCTGAATTAGTCTGACGAGATTGCTCTAATGTTCCAGTGAGTTCATCTGGATTTGGTTCTTCACCATGGTTTGCTGGTTCCTCTTGGATATCGCCTGGTTGTGGCTGATCATTAACCTCTGGCTGAGCAACTCCAGTTGGGTCTGGATTCTCTTCTGCTTGAGGTGGTGGTGGTGTTGGAAGTCTATTGAATGGCCCTCTCCTTTCTGGAACTGGTTCCCCTTCACTTAAAAAAGAAATTAATGATATTAATGGAATTAATTTCATGGAACTCTATGAGGAAAAGACTTACGTAGAAAAGATATCTGAACCCAGGTACATGGAATAGACAAATCCAATTAGGAAAAGGTGCTCTTTAGTGGTGCCGCCATATAGCTGGGGACCTCTTTTGGGCCTCCTCATATGCATGTCATATCCATGTATGGTGGTGCGAAGTATATAAAATAAATTATGATGGAAACAACATACTGTATATACAGTACTATACTTCCAATACAGTATTTACATTTGCAGCATAAGATGTGTAAGAATCCCCCACCAGAAGTCCCCAGCTATGGCACTTGCAGAAGGAGAATAATCACTGTATATATATTGCACGAAACCATTATGCAACAGCACTTGTACATAGAATAATAACTTACCTCACAAACCATTCTACGTCTATGTTGGAAACTGTATTACCATGTTTGGACAAATAAACAATCCTCTCACCATCTTCCAAAATGTCTGCATTAACAGACATCACACCATCATCATGTGATGGATTCCGCTGTAAAAATTGACAACAAAAAACCTCATTTACAAACGAAGATGATACATGAATTATAAATATAATACTGTTCAAAAATATATATTACAAATAAATGTATTGACTAATCATAAGTAATTAAAAATTGTCACCTGGTTGGATTCAATCCATGTTTCCAATCCATTAAGGTTAAAGGTCGCCCAATCACCACCATAAAATTCATTCCTAAGATAAAAACAAAATATTGTATAATTCACGAATAAGAATATCATAATGTTTGCTAGTGTTGAGTTTAATCGAGTCACACTTTTAATCTGAACAATATAAATCCCTGTCTAGATTATAAATTTTTGATCAAAAACTGTTGTCTGCCCATATATAGTCATGATGTGCCTATATATGGTCATGAAGTGTGGTCATACATGGGCATGTTGCATGTTCTTGTGCCTATATATTGTTATCATGGCCATATGTGGCAAAGACAAGCCAAACCAGTCAAACATCACAAATCCTGTTTTAGAGATAATGGCCAAAGCCTGGTGGAATGTCAACATTTTGGAAATCTATTTTATTGCACTAAACTAACCTTTACATATCTATACATCATGCTATGCTGATTTTCAATGTTAAAACAACAATTTTTAATGATTTGGTGATGGTTTCTGCCTAAGAAATGTCCAAAATCATAAACTTTGAAGGCTGATTTCTCAAATATTGTTCTTTAAACAGCTGTATGTTTAAACTCCTGTAACGTCTTAACGAAATGTCAGATTTAGATTATTCTTTTACCATTATATATAGCTCTCTGTTTAACCCTGTATTAATAACAAAAAATTGATTTTTGCGATGAGTGACTGGTCTTTGCCATATATTTAGTTTTTCATAAAAATTTTATTTTTTAATTTTTTCATTTTATTGAGTTTGAAACCAACAGCGATAAAAACCACCATTAACAGGTTAATAAAACAAAAAGTTGACAGTGCAGGACTTTACTTAGGTCATTATTAGGTTGGTAAACAACCTTGCTTACCTAATGGACAGAAATAGCAGGTGGTGTTAGTGGTGAAATATTTATGAAGTTTGGACATGAGCTCTAAACCACTATGACAGTTACAAGAGGTCACACGTTGGGAGTAGCCTCTTCGGTTAGACTGGTAGATATGAGCTTTCCTAACACAACAAACATTTTTTGGCGACAGGTGGTGATACCTATTGTCATCTGGCTTGCAGGAGACAATTCATAATTATCATTTTACTTTTCTTTAAAACAAGTTCTCGTAATCTCGAAAGCTCTGATGAGGGCAGTATAATAGAAGCAGTAGAGCTAAAAAATCTATTAGTCAATCAACTATTAATCAATCAGCCTCCTGAGGGCAGTATAATAGTCAGTAGATCTAAAAATACCTATTAATCAATCAACTATTAATCAATTAGCCTCCTGAGGGCAGTATAATAGAGTCAGTAGATCTAAAAAAGATCTAGTAATCAATCAACTATTAATCAATTAGCCCCCTGAGGGCAGTATAATAGAGGTAGTAGAACTAAAAAAGATCTATTAATCAATCAACTATTAATCAATCAGCCAAGTGTTTCAGCTCCTCATGAGGGCAGTATAATAGAGTCAGTAGATCTAAAAAAGATCTATTAATCAATCAACTATTATTCAATCAGCCTCATGAGGGCAGTATAATAGAGGTAGTAGAACTAAAAAAGATCTATTAATCAATCAGCCGAGTGTTTCTAGAGCTTCTCATCGGAGCTAAAAAAAAAAAATTTAAATTGTTCGCAAATCATGACCCGAAGGCTAAATTGTATTATGTGAGCCTAACAATTTCAATATATAAAAGCAACCAACTGATAATTTTACGTGTATTTGTTATGTCTGTTGTTGTAATGTCCATGTTTAATGCTTATTTTATCAAGAAGTTTTTTGTACTTGTCTGGCTTGTTTTGTTTTGTAATACTAATTTGAATAATTGCCAGGTGGTCTCTCCTTTGTAAGACATTTTTTTTGGTTTGAAGAAGCAGTCAGTTGAGTAATAGTCACTTCACAGTAGCTACAGGACATAAGCACTGTACTGCTATAAAAAAGAATTATGCACCAGAAGGTGGAAGCTAAAATTTATGGTAAGTGGGTTTTTGGTTGCTTAGTTGGAACTTTTATTAAGCTTAACTCAAAGATATAAATTCAGTGCCTGTAATTATCCTTGTCCACTATATTCCAGTCTAATTTATGTGCAGAGGATTCCCTACAGCACAAGCTTTATTTTACAGTTTAATAGCATTGTTGTACTATAAAGCCTACCTATCAAGATGAAGAACTGCTCGGCCTATCCTTGCCAGACCTGCTGCAAGGATACTTTCTTGTAAACCTATGAAACATAAAGAAAATCAGAAAGAATTTGAGGTTATTATAAATTTCTTTCCCCCTGCCCATCTATATGTTTCTTTTTTTTTTTTGGGCCTGCTTTCTTCATTGTTTTTCATTTAACATTTCTCTTCAGTTTTTACTTTCATTAGTTCTTTTTTTTCTTCTTTCTTGTTCTTTTAATTACTTTTGCGAAGTAAAGAGTGGGCTTCTTTTCAAAATGAATGCTGTAAATTTTGAGAATTACATAAAACAATGAATAGGCCACTGTAACATCAATCCGTATCATGAAGTGGATATTAACTGGCATTAAATCACCTAAAACTTTGTATAAACATGTTTAAAAAAAAAAAAAGAAGCCTTGCTACCTTGAGATGGCTTCTTTTTTAGGCTAAATTTTGCAAACTGGAGAAGTGGGCTTCGATTCCAGATTGGGCTTTAATTTGAGGTTTTACAGTATTTGTTTGAGTATTTCTTTGTCTCTTTGTTTATCTTTTGAGTACTGACTCTATTCAATGATGTCGGCGCACAAAAGACTTCCACACTTTGGCGCTAATACGGTTTCACATCCAGTCCTAAAATCATTTACTAAAATTATTTAACACTTACAATTATTACAATGCTATACATTACTTGATGATTTTACTCTCTTATAATCCAATTATTATTCAACAATTATGGTTTCTAATTAAGTTAATTAACCATTGATTAGGACGGTCAACGTCTTCGTGGTGCACCATCTTGCACTCCCGGCCTGTAGTACTGTAAATGTCAACAACCTTGCTACGTTGCCAGAACCAGGGCAAAATTATACCATGGTAGCCATAGATGTGTGCTGAGTTAAGTGCGCCTAGGCCTTAAGTGGAAATAGTATGAATGTCAAGTGCTCAAAATGTTATTTATCCAACAATATTATGGTTTCTAAGTAAGTTTATTAATTAACCATTTATTAGGATGGTTAATGTCTTTGTGGTGTACCATCTTGCACTCCCGGCTTGTAGTACCTGTCAATAACTTTGCGACATTGCCAGAATCAGGGCAAAATATGTGCGCTAAATAAGTAAATAAGTGCACAAAAATATCTAGGCCTAGGTGGAAATATTATGAATGTCACTCAAAATGTTATTCTACTTTTCGCTTAGTTTATTTTATCTTCATCAAGAATATACAAAAAGCCGAACTACAAAACCATACAAGTTTCTGGAAATCCTAATGCAGTGAAATAATTGGTCACAAATTATATGACAGACCTGAAAACTTGCAGTCGTCAACTAAACTCTGTGTGTGGTACAGCGGAGTGGAGTTGATTGTGTTGAGCAATCGGGTGTTACTATCGATATACCGTCCTAATTATTGGTTAATTAACTTAATTAGAAACCGTAATTATGGAATAATAAGTGGCTTATATGAAAGTCAAATCATCAAAGAACATGTTTTAAGTTTTAAATAATTATTAAACTGTTTTCAGAGCCAGATGAGAAAACATATTAGCACCCACACTTTACAGTGTCACCTCAAAAGATGGTAATGGTAATGGTTTGGGACTTGTAAAGCACATACTACATGGTCTCTATGTGCTTAAGTTACATGAAAGAAAACAAACCAAAAACTAAATCCTAAAGTCTAACCAAGCGACCTAAGAATTAAAAAAAGAAAAACAGAGAAAACAGACTATCACAGGGGAACCAACATCACCGCACCATTTTCCTGCAATTTGAGACCACAGTCAAGCAGTGGTCGTATCACTTTTAAAATGCTATCAATCAAATACTTGTATAAAAACTTGGATTTTAACATTTTGTTGGGATTGGGGACGCCACTCACCAGTGCACCTCACGGGAAACCTAGGCCTACCTACCGAATCACCTACCTACCTAGCAGGCCTAGGCCTATTCTGCCTACTACTACTAGGCCTATATCTAGGCCGTAGCCTAGGCCGTATGTAGGAATAATAACGTCATTGACCAACACTAGGCCGGCCTAGGCTACTACTGCTACTTTTGTAATAATATTAAAATCATTGATTATATCAACTAGGCTAGGCCATAGCCTAGGCCCTATAGTAGGCCTAGGCCTTTCCCGACCTGCTGCACCGGGCGCCTTCTTCCGTGCCCTACAACCACCACATACAAGCAGCCAATAATAATGCTTTGAAAGAAATTGCCATGATTAATTTCAAATTAACCTCAGCTCAAAGAGTGATCCATATTAAAGTCGTATATCTTAGAAATGCACTTTCATAACAATCAACTACAAGGCTTTTAATAAATTACTTAGGCCTAGGCCTACCTGTTCCTAATATAATTTCATCATACTCTGTCGGCAAATCTTCCATTTTGTTTTGTTTTCCTGTCGAACTAGAGGGCGCTAGTCAAACTTTTGACTCAAATTCTGCTAGCATAGTAGGCCTAGTTGTGGTTTCCACAGTTGCATTAATTACGGTATATTCTTGTAAATTTAGCGTCTGCATCAGGTTCGTACGATGGCCCACAAGGGACACACTGCAAACAAAAAGAAATGCTGCAAACAAAAAAGAAATGCTGCAAACAAAAAAGAAATGCTGCAAACAAAAAAGAAATGCTGCAAACAAAAAAGA